GCGGTTCTAGGCGATCGATATACGAGGGGCATTGAGGTCGTCTCGGGGTCATAGGCCAGGCGTTGGGATGCGCACCAATGCCATGATGAAGAAATGTTTCTCGGCAGATGGGCGTTTGGTTGGGCAACGATCTTTGACAGGTCAGGGCGTTTTTGGTGGCTGGTTATTAGTGGTCAGTAGAATGAACGGTTTGGGCTGAACTGGACAAGACAAGCAGAAGCGGAAAGGCGGAACAAGGGACACAAATGTGAGATGACACTGCATATTTGTTGTCGTTGTCGTCGATGTCGTCGTCGCTGTCATTGTCGCTGTCATTGTCGCTGTCATTGTCGCTGTCATTGTCGCTGTCATTGTCGCTGTCATTGTCGCTGTCATTGTCGCTGTCATTGTCGCTGTCAGTCCCTCACAATATTCGAGGCCACCCACTACTCGCTACAGCCACGAGGGAGTCAGGATCTCAACCATGTCGCCAACCACACTACGAGAATCTCCAGCAACTTGAGCCGAAAAAAATCTCGGAGCTGATCTGACTGATGAGGATGAGGAATCATGGGATGCGTCGGAGGCTAAAAGCTCCTCGGCGCTCCATAGCGCGTCATGATATGCAAACAATATCGACGGAAATCCATAGTGGCAATCTCAGAAAAAAAATATAACAAGTAATAATAGTCGCGTGTCACGACTCTGCGCGCGCGTCTACGAGTTAACTCGTTCGTACATTAGTCTGCCTTATTATTGTGGGGGAACGACAAAGAGAGGATTTGCTTGGGAAGGGGGCCAAATTGGCATCTTGGTTGTACGAGGGATCGAAAACAAAATGCTGTATGGTGTTATTCCGAGTAGATGGAACGGGGGAGCATATTGATAGTCACAGGAGAAACGAGGAGATGGAAAGAGACGAGCTGAGTTTCATCAGATCTGAAATTATATTGAACTCCATATACCAACTTACCGAGTGTTGACCACCAGCAAAAACGCTGATCGATCTGGACTTTGCAACACTGGCTCGGCTGTCTCAGCGTCATCTCCGGCAAACGCGTGCCCTTGTGCCTTGTTGCTTGGGATCCTTTTTTGCTTCTTTTTTTCTCTTCTCCATCTCTTACATCGCGTGCATACTTGGTACATGGGTCCCCGTGTCGTGTCGTGGAGTCAGGAGCTCAGCCATAACCGTTGTCAGGTGGTACTTAGGTGGTCCTCGTCCTCGTAGACACCGCTGAGGAGATGCTTCGGTCTAAAACCCACGGGCCCTTCCTTCTAGTCTCCTGCTGATGTCAATAAGTGGGTAAAGTATCACCAAGAGGAAACGGTCAAGGAGGAGGGTGGAGGGCTCATGCGTCTTGAGTTACACGGATCTGTAACCGCTGGAATAAGACTGCATCAGAACTCTGTAACAAAGCGAGGGAAACTCACTGTTTTGCAGATCTGAACCAGAGGTATAATGTCGAGACAGGGGTCCTTGTGCGAGTCAAAAAGGGTGCAGCAGCTTTCCCTCAGATCGACTCGCTTGACGGAGATGAGGGTTTGCCAGAAACGAACAACCCGATGGTGCCGCCTCTAAGATTATCCCTGTTGTAGGTAGGATGGTTTGCACATGGAAGGTTTGGAACCATTTGGAGTGGCTGGAAGAGCTTCCGATACATGTCGACCACTCACAGTGCTTGATGTCCAGCAACTTGTCGAGATAGGGAACGGAGCACGGAGTACCCTCGTACCCTTGTAGATCTCTGGATCTCTAGGCACGACAGGGGGACAACTCAAAGCTAATTGACCCATCTACCCATTTCTCGTATCCCTGTCGTCCACAAGTAGCACAATCCTGGGGTCACTTTGGAATCGGTGATGCAAGGCAACAGAGGACGAACAACCACAGAGTGGTGCAGCATCAAAGCTGTGCTCGCCATCTGCTTCAGGTCGTTTGAGCTGGGCTGGTCCTTGCGGCGAGAGCTAGCCACCATCATGGAAGTCTTCTCCTAGCGAAAGACGAGAAACTCCGGATAGCCAGGGCCATGCAGAATCATCTCACGTCAATCACGAAGATCGCGCAACAGCAATTCCCGCGTGTTGGCTCGCAGAGCAAAAAATTGTCTGGGAGTAGTCCCCTCGTACTGCAGTAGTGACAATTCGCTCGCAGCTTGCCGGTCAGGCTTGGACCCCGAGTAGCTGGTCAAGACTTCTGTGGACTCCGTCAGGCTTGCATTAGCCAGGTTCGAAAACAAGGACCTGACGGCGACATGGACCAATGGACGCGCCTTGACGCGCTCTCCTCAAACCTCCAGCCGCGCGACCAGAGTGGATGTGCTGTATGGTTTTACATACATAGGAGACCAAAAAAAGGCAAAAGGATGGCAAACACCGCAAAGAGCTCGGGTTGTAAGTACTTGGTAATGGGCCTGTACCTCGTACTTGTCACGGGTAACGACCAAAACAACAATGGGTTGACGGGTGATCGGCTCAATACAACAAAATGTCGGTTGTCGATCTGATGATACATACGAGTAACAATTTGTCTGAGCTGTACTGCCCATCAGGAGCTCTAATAGGAAGTAAAAGGAAATTTGTTGGTGTCAATGATAGGAGGTGTATTGGATTGAAGTGAAGTGAAGTGAAGTGACAGGAGTCTCACGAGCCTCAGATGAAAGGAGGAGGTGGTGGTAGTAGTGGTGGTGTGTTTACCGAGTATTGCGTGAGTACCGAGTATCTGTTCAAAGGCATCAAAGGCATCAAAGGCACCTACGAGTCAACCTGGGCATGCCTAGATACCTTGGGTTAGGGGGGCGTTAACGGGGGTGCTACCCCAGGCATTGAGCGTACTCGGTACAGTGACATAGTTAAGCCATGGTAATGCCTATCCCTCCCCGGGCCCTCTCGCTAGTGGCGATACTAGCCTGGAAACATGTTTGCCAGAGACCAGGACAAAGTTTCGGGGACCACTGGCCGTGGATAGAGGGCTGAACAAATAAACAGCTGCCACAATAGCGGTCACAGGCTGGCCTGGTGCCCTGCGTGCCCTGTCAAGCCTGTTTTCCCTCAATGAATAGTTACGGAATCGTCGTAAGTAGTAATGAACCGTACGCCATGGCTTGCGGCTGGGCTGGTCGCCGTTTCTGGAGAGCCAGAACCCGCATAATTGGAGCTTTTGCTTCCCTGGCTGGCTGTCGCGCAATCCGCCAACCCGCACAAGCTGCAACCCTCAACTTTTGCCCACCTCGCTGCCGTCCCTGATTCCCTGGTTGTTCTGCTGTCGACCCCTGCAAGTCGTGTCTGGGGCCGCGCCCACGCCCAATCGCTGCTGTCAGGGCCAACCATCTCGTACACTCCATTGACTCCACTCTGACTTCCTCATCTCAAGACTTCAGACGGGCCTCCTGTTCCTTTTTCTCCTCGTCCACCACCGTCCTTTCTCTCAAAATCCTCAATCCCATGAGGCCTTGACCTCGTCCTCTTTTTATCCTCTCCTTCCCCTCCTCCTCCCGTCGTTGGACCTTCGGATACATCACGACTCGCCTGTGTATCTCTCATGTCCTCGACTCTCCTCCCACGCAACCAGCTCTGACCACTGTTCCTCCTGAGCCTTGCTCGAGCTGCACCACCCACACCCTGCACTGCTCTTGAAACCTGCACTCGTTTACGCAGAACGTTCTGGATAGCGTTCTGCATTGGGTCTTCTGGGCACACAAAAGATCCTCCATCTCATCCAAGAGGTAAGGACCTTTCTTTGCAGTGGCTGGCTCAGACAATGGGGCAAGAGTGAGATACAGCCGTACCAGAGGTCTAGAAATAAAACAACCCCAACGACACCAGGTCCCGTGGCGGGACAGCTTCTCTCCTCTCCACTCAGGCCATTGGACATATCGACAGTTCCAGCATACACTTACCGTTTCCCCTGGCTCCTCACCGGTCTCCTCCTGTCCCTCGTATGCTCTCTCGGCTTCCCCACCCACCTTGATATCAAGCAGAAGAGCTCAACATGAGTTGGCGGTGCCCTGTGCAGATGAAATCAAGAGGAGGACCTAAACAATCTCAAAGTGTGCTGGGGAATCTTGTCAGAAGGGATGCAGTACCTCGTCGAGCCTCCTTGACCAGATGCTTAGAAAGGAGATTGAGCCCCTATAGCTCGACAGTCCTCTTGCCATGAAAAGAGAGACAGATTGCTCAAACGACACTGCAGGGAAGAGGAATTCGACCTGGTGTTGCCCTTGATCATCTATACCTTGGAACTCGGTGGACTCCCTGAGCGACACATGCAATCATCTTCGACTGGCTGGACCCATGACCCATTAACCCTTTTCTGCCACGCCCCCACATTTTCAACGCAGCCTGGGAAGTGTTCGCTGACCAGATATTCTCAAGCAGATTTGCATCTCCCTTAGCAGAACGAGGTCACCACAGTCTAGAATAGCCAACGTGCTTTTCAGATACCGAGGTCGGTGCTCTTTTCTCCATCCCTTCAATCAGCGGACTGACTTCATTTTAGATTTCCCAGTGCAAAAATCCCGTCTCCTCTGGAGGCCTCCTCAACCCGCATTCCAGTCCAAGGCCCCAATCACACCCCGGCGGAGTCGTTCATTCGACCTTTGCTGAACCTACGCACGAGCAGTCAATCTACTTGGCATACCAATCCTTGGCCAGATGAAGAGCATTCGTGTTGATCCCTAGTAACAAGGACTTCGAAATCGCCGTGCCCTTTCTCCCTTTCGGTATGTCCTAGCACCTCACTTACCTATCACCGGTCTGCTAACCACACCACGCACGCTCCAGCTTCCCAAGTCTAGAAAAGACACTTTTAAACTCCCTTGGTTCCTGGCCACCTCCAGCCTCGCGAGCAACATTTGATTGCGTCCGATCATTTCACTCCTTTCAAAGCTTTTGCCAACTACACGACTGTCACTCACTTTTTATCCGTCGTTAATCTTCACCCCTCGAGCAATCTCGATATCTCACCTCTGCTCTGCCTCACTTCCAATTGATAATTCATCCGCCATTTCACCAATCTTGCAATCATGGCTTTCAACAACAGAATCTCCTCCTTCGGCTCCAACGACAGTGGCTACGAGAGTGGCATCGTCGAGGTCTTTGACGAACCCCGCCGCCCAGTCATTAAGAACCCAAACCATGACAAAGAAATTGCGAGACATCGTCAGCACCTGATGGCGTCGGAGATGTCGAGAAGAGATGCAGATGAATACCAGCAAGACATGCTTGAGCATATGCTTAAAGTGGATGTAAGTAACGTTGGTTATTAACACGTAAGTCTAGACTGACACTTTAATTGAAGGCAGAGACCATGCCGGACGTCGACGCAATCGACATCCAAACCGAAATCCAATGGTACATGCGGCCCTACCTCCTCGATTTCTTGGTCGAGGCCCATACAGCTTTCCAGCTCCTACCCGAGACTCTATTTCTTACAATCAACCTCCTCGATCGCTACTGTTCGAAACGTGTCGTCTACAAGCGTCACTATCAGCTTGTTGGGTGTGCTGCACTGCTCATCGCGGCAAAGTATGGAGATAAGAAAGAGAAGGTTCCGACAATCAAAGAGCTAAAGTCCATGTGCTGTTCGCTCTATGACGACGACATGTTCTTGCAAATGGAGTGGCATGTTTTGTCTACCCTTGGTTGGGCCATTGGACATCCTACTGTCGACGCCTTTATGCGGTTGGCCGTCAAGGACAACGTCTACGACCCCGAGACAGAAAGTTTGACCCTCTACATCCTAGAGATTGCCCTCTATCACCGAGACTTTGTGTCCAAGCAGTCACACACCCTTGCCCTTTCGGCTCTAGTGCTAGCTCGCCACATCCTCGGTCGACCTCAAGCTCGCCCCAATGAGTTTGGTGCTCACTTCTGCAGCACCACCGTGATGGAGTTGCTACAAAAAGTTCAAGAGCCTTCGGGCATTTTGGCACGCAAGTATGCCTCGGTGCGCTACTCTGGCGTTTCTCGAGTCTTGACCAACTTCCTGGCTCAAAAGGCTGCCATGTCGGCCTCCCGAGCTCCGTTGACTCCGACTTACGATCTCAGCCCTCCCTCTGCTGTCACCAAACCCGCAGGCTCTGAATACTTTCAAACTTATGCCACACCTCAAAAGTCTCAGTTCCCGTCATTGGTGCAGCATGGTCTGTACACACCTCCTATCACTCCTGAGGGTGACATGTTCGGCGTGACACAGAAGACCTTCAACGCCCCTAATCAATGTGCACCTCCTACCCCAACTCCCACCACTGTGGACCAACAATTCACCTCACATTATCCGACTTCGACTCAGCAATGGAGCCGCGAAGCATACTGAATGTTCATTGATTTGAGCGAGGCTCATTACGCTCAAGAAGATAGATTGATCCTCTCAACTTTTCGCTTCGACCGCGTCATACTGTTCTGTTAGCACACAGAAGTGTTTCTACTACCGTCAGAATTGTGAGATTAGTTTTTGTGCATTGCAAGCGTTCTTGTCATGTTTCCGAGCATCGATATCCTCTATCAAAATTAGGGGGGAAAGAAATAACAGCGAAATCACTCTTTAATACCGGGGACCGACCTAGGGAGAGAGACAGAGATCGATGTCAGATGGTGGTTCCCCTTCTTGAGCAGAGGTCTTGAGAGGTAGAAAGTTTCGGGTCTGTCAATGGGATGGGCGCCGGAAACCAAAACGATCAGTTATTGTGAGATTGGATTATCAACATGCTTAGTGCTGGAGCTCATGGAGCATTGAATGGTTATGGAAACTGGGCCCAAAGGGAACTCGAGTCAAATAAAAAAAAGGAAACCGCCTTGGTTTGGCTGTGGACTTTTATTGTAAACCTCATGGAGGAAAAGATTGACTTGACATCCTTGAATTTTAAGTGCGGAATGCAAAGAGTCGGAAAGGATTTAGAATTTCCTTTTGGCACACCGAGTGTTTGTGACTCCGCCGTGCTATTTGACCACTGACCACCTCTTTACCTTTCCTCGTTGGCTTTGTCACTGTCCGCAAGGGCAAGAATGGGAGCCGTGACAGTGACAAGCACCCAACAAGTATCGCGATACCTGATCGATAAGCTCTTCCCCCGAACAACCCCGTATCGTACCCATTTCATGATGCCTCTGATAGCCAGTATTATGTACCTCCTTTTTGGCGGAAAAACACTCGTTTTCCCTTGTCCATTTGTCCCATATCATAGTCACCAACAGCTTCTCCCTCACTTCGGAGTATCCAACACAGATGACATGGCCAACTGAGCGTCTTTTCGCCCGATGTGTCAAGAGTTGTCACCATCCGTGGCGTGTTTGGTGGATGTCCGTACGCTGGTGAACAGACACACAGGCGATGCAGCTGTCCGTAGTCGGCATTTGTGTGTTTGTGTGCTTGCGCCCACCTACAACCATTGTCCCAGGATCTGCTGCACCAGGCCCGGATCCAAGTCTGCGCGTTCCAATTCGGCTCTCTGCAACTCGGCAGGATCCAGGTTGCCGATCGTGCCGTGCACATCGTGTAAATGGCGATAGCACTCGAGTTCAACTGTGAACCTCTCCAGGCATAACCAGCAAAGGTGCGTGCCACAACCCTGACAGACCATGTGGTTACAGCCTCCTTCCTTGTACATTGCTGTCCCACAGGCTGGGCAGTCTTTGATGTTGTTTTGTTTTTTGAACCGCTCCGTCTCGCGAGATGCCGTGCTCTCGTCGCGGGCCTGTTGACAAGTGAGTCCGTCGTGACTCAGTTTTCGGCATTTGGCGCAGATCGAGGTCAAGCAGTTGACGCATGTAAACACACTGGCTTCGTCGGAGACTTTGTAGATGGTCGGGCAGTCAGGCGTCGGGCAGTACTGCATCTTATCGGGTTGGGATCTTATGTGCGCGCCAATGGATGCCTCCAAGACTGCTTCGAACTTGTCGTGGCGGAGAATTTCCTTGAGCTCTTTCAAAGAAACAACTTGGCCACAGTGACTGCTATTCCCGAAACACACGATTGGGACCTTGTGATGTTTCACCTCTTCGCATAGACCTTCAAAACAACCGCGACAGTAAGTATGACCACAGTGGATTTTGACGGGATCCTCAACAGTCGAGAAACAGCAGGGACATTCCCCATCATCATCGGCTTGGTGGACTTCTGCGTCCTTGGAAGTACGGTCGAAAAGGAGAGACCTGGCCAGTTCTGTCTCTCGAGGACTACCTTGAAATATTATGGCTGGCGGTTTTCGCTGTATGTCCATTATTGCATTGTTCCTGCCAAATTTCCTGACCAAGCGGCGGAAACCTCCAGACAATGCCGCTCTGAAGAGACCCCCTTCTAGAGTTATCAGATGAATTGATGAGTGAGAGTTGAGAAGTAGGACGATTGTGCGGCGGGCTTCTTCGAATAGAGACTCCAAACCATACAGCTGAAGTTGTTGCTTTCGCAAGTCCCGATAAATAAAGATCTTGCCGTCTTGAGAGATAGATTTAAAGCATGACAAGGCTTCGTCTTTGGCAAAGAAGTCATGCCACAAAGCCGAGCCGCCATCGTCAAGCACAACTGTGCCAGTCAACATCTCTCCCAGTTTCGATTTGACACGCGCCACATCTTGTGGTTTTGGTCCATAGATTCTCAACATGACAAGCTTGACCTCGCGGTGGACATGTGCAGAAATGCTGACCTGGCCCTTGTTGTTGGATTGGAGTTCCTCCAATTTATCCTTGAGGACAGAGTGAAGGTCGCGGAGGACTGGGATTGCGACAGCGGCAACTGTTTCGACAAATAATCTTGACCCTAGGTCTGGGACATTGGTTTGTGCGAGGGCGACCACATCTCGGGCGTCAGACGGGGATTCAAAACACGCAAATGCCTTCATGCGAGAGCCAGACGCAGTCGGCTCGATGTTGAACGATCGTAGCTTGCGGCCAGTCTCTATCAGGTGCCCTTCGACCCAGTCCACAGCTTCCTGTTGGGTTTTTTGTGAAGTCGGCTTCCCAAACACGATATCGTCTGGCTCAACGCCTCTGAGATGCTCCTGTAGATCCTTCTTCGTGGTTTCGACGGAGACATTGTTTAATTGCACCGACCAGATCGACTTTGGCCGCCCATTCCGCTTGGATGGAGGTTGTATCTTGCTTGTAATCTGACGGCCTTGAAGCTTTCTTTCAAATCTCTTACTGGCGTTTGTTGCCCAACGACTGCTTCGGTAGTGGAGCCACACGATTCTTGAAGGGTTGTACCATGAACAGAGAACAGTCGAGACTTGTACTTTCGTGGTCGGTGGATGTCCACGTACACCAGTGTCGTCTGATGGGAACTTCACATCGAGGATCTGAGTGCCTTCGCCGATGCGGATGCGGGCTCCCTTGAAAGACCTCTCTATTTGAGAGATGCCGTTGGCTAAAGACAAACCGTACGTGGGCTATAAAACCAGATTAGCTCACCGGATCCTGAGTATCGAACTGTCGAGTCAAATGACTTACAGTCCCAGCAGCCACCTGGCTCAGACTGTTGTCCGAGTTCGCAGGGTGGGGGTAACGGCAGTCAGAGCCGTTTCGACACGCTCCCCGGGCGTAAAACCTGCAAACAGGCTTGGGCGGCGTTGGGCTGTCGGCGCCCGCGGAGGCGCGACGAGGAGGGAGAGGTTGCGCGTGGTCGAAGCGGCAATCTGTGCCGCGGGCACAATTGCCCCTGGCAAAGAACCTGCAGGGCGCCATGGCACAACCGTTAGAGAGAGAGACAAGAAGGTGACAAGGACGCGAGGAATGAAAGACGAGTCTTCACTTACCGCTAAAAGCAGAATCACTGTTAACTAACCTCTCAGACCATTCAGGCAACTGTATCGATTTTGAGGGTTTTGTAACCAAGTGGGCGTCAGACTCAGTCGCAGGATGGATGATTGTACACCATCATCACCATTATCGAGACAACACTCTCTTGTCACAGACGGCTTCCCTGTTGCTGATGTGCCTTGTGCCATTTTGGCACTGTGAAGTTGTCACGCATCAATACAATGCTATGACTTTTGTTAACAGGGGCGTGCATCCGATATCCATCGGAACTCAAGCTGCAGAAGACGAGATGACAAGAATGTCCTGTCTTTGTATGATTCTTACGTTCGTCCTCCTATCACCAAGTCGCTTGTCTTCAAGAAAGAAGAAGCGAAAAGCAGCTGACGTGGGTGGCTTTGCTCAACAATCTTAGTCTAGGCAGTTCTCACAATCGGCCCTTTTTCACCACGCCCTTTGATCGTTTCTCCCTGCCTCAACCATACCCTAGCCGCGGCGGTAATATCGAGATACAAGCAGGAAAATAGCCGAATATTTATGCGGATGCAAGAGCGAGATCTACCACCAATGTCTCGATTGCAGACAAGGTACGAGAAGGGACAACACCACCACAGCACAAGCAGATTGAGCGATGAAGTTGGGAGATCTCACCAACTAGTGCCCGACCAGGTAAAGCACGATGGGGCACAAAGAGTCAAGTTCTCACGGAGTATTTCCCCAGCTACGTCAACAATATGCATGGACAAGCCCCATCGCGGGATTGTGGATGATGGCCACTCTGCTGTGGTCCTCGCATGCCGAGTATCCAGCCTATCTCGCGTCTTACAGGCTCGTCGCTAGGGACTTCCCCATGTTCTCCTCGCATCCGCCCTTGCTTCAGGCGGGGTCGCTCCAGGGTGGTGGGGACAACATCAGCGTGCATGGACAACAGAAGATCGAGGTCACCACCAAACTCTCGCCAACCGTCAACCAACGATGATGCGCTGATATACGAAACCCAGGTCATTTTGGGCCTGAGGTCAAGCACCAGCGCTCTCTTACGGAGTTTCTTGTGTCTGTCATGGCCTGATGCCTGCCACCCCCCACCTCGTAATCCCCAGCTCTTCCTTTGGGTTCCGTCGGTCCTGGTCAAATGTATAGAATGGCCTTGTGCGGTCCCCTGGTCTAACCTATCCTCGTCTTTCCGCCTTCACACTTTCTGGCCAAAACCGATCCTTTGGACAAGCTGACTGCGGTCTTCTCCTGACTGACCATGACTCGAGCAGCAGATCCCTACTACAACCGCAAGCCTGTTCCTGGTAAGGCTGTGTTGGAATGATGCCTCTTGTCCGATGCTAACGGCGGGCGCTTGTGCAGATGAACTGGTCAAGGATGTCGGCCTGACTGGGCTGACACCAGAAGAAGAGTACTGGAACCGTGAAAAGAAGTTCACTGCACATGGAGCAGATGTACGACGTTTCAGCAACAGTCTCAAAGGGGGTATTGAGCCTCTTAACGATCCTTACTATGGTCGAAAGCCGGTCAGCAGTCTGTCACTCCACACGTTCCCAACCTCGCGGGCGGTGT